TGTGCGGGCCAGGTAAGACCGGAGGCCCAACCGCGCGAGGCCGGTGGGGCGGGAGGGGGCCGGGGACAGCCTTCTCCAGCCCGGCGCCCCGGCTGGGCTGGAGGCGCTGGTGGGCCCGTGAGCGTGAAGCTGCGGTGCAGCCTGTCCGGACGAAGCAGGGCTTGTGAGGAGCGGCGAGCTCTGCTTTCCTACTCTGGGACAACGGAAGGGTGTTGTGCTGCGAGTGCCCTGGCTGGGGAAGGCTGAACTAGGCAGATTTTGCCTGATGTTAGGGAGAAACCGTGTTTCTGTGTGTGCCAGCCCTTCTAGGTTGGAACCAAAAAACCCACAACAGACATTTGAGGAAACCCAGGTTGGGGCAGTGAAGCCTCTGGATGTGGAAATGCAGATGTGCCTGTTGGGGCTCTCCTTGGGTCATGATCCTCCCCGCAGCCTCCAAATGACTCCAGATGCCATTTAAAATCCATCCCTTCGGCTCTCAGCGCTAAAGCCGCTGGGGGGAACCTTGCGCAGGGAGGGGAAGAGGCGGCCGTTTCCATCACCTCCTCTTGCACCCTGAACAAGGGGAAGAGAGCCCTCTGTAATCCCGCCCCCTTGGCTCTAGCCCCACCCACCCTGGGAATGCAGACCCCAACAGGTCTGGACAGGAGAAGGATTCTGCAGCCCTGCCTTGAGGGGCTTGCAAGTGCAGGGGGGGGGTGCCAGCAGGTGGTTCCCATCTCAGGAGAAGAGGTGCCATCTCTCCTTACCTGTTTGTTTGAGCGGTGCTGGTGCTCATCCCAAGCCCTTGCTGTGGAGATGGCACGTGGCCTGGTAAGGATTGGATTGTGTTCTGAAACTCTGCAGAGTGCCTCTTGAGGTCCTTGCATGTCTTAATAGCCCAAAAGCATTTGCAGAATGCTGTTCTGATGATTCCTACAGAAGCCTTGAGCTTGGTACTTTTCTTTGGGCGGTTGACAACTTCCTCTGCTTCCTTCAGCTGGAAATGTTAGCTTAAACTTACTTTGCCCACCCTGTGAATATTAGAAGTTGTGGTTTTTGGCAAGCAGCAGGCAAGGATAGCCGTCGTGGAAGAGAATTGCTCCTGCAAAGACTCCGAGATGCCCCAAGCAAGGAGTGACCTTCCACTTTTCCAGCATCTGAAATTCCCTTAAAACAGGATCTTCAGAGGCAAAGGGTATTTGCCCCGTGCCTTCAGGAAACATTTGCCGTACCAGCCCTCCTGGGATGTCACCATCTAGTCCTTGGCTTGGTTGTACACTGAAGACTTTCTCATAGATGGAGATTCTTCACTTGAGAACTGGACCATTTAGTAGTGCCTTGGGTGTGTGAATTGCATGGCAGGTAGAATCTTGCACGCTTCCCTCCAGAGAGAGAACTTTTCCTTTGTAAACACTAGCCAGGCTGGAAGCACTCAACAACATAGCGTTCAGACAGTGTCCTGGTTCTACCTGTTGCACGATACCATGGTTTCTTTTAACCAAGGTTGGTTGAATAATGATGTTTTATATGTTTCTCTATTCTTTTTTTAACTTCTGTGTTGGATTGTTGTTTTTAACTGTTGCAAGCCACCTAGAGTCACCTAAGTGAGATGGGCAGCCATACAAATCAAATCAATCAGTCAGTAAAATAAGACAGAGTTCACCCATTGAACTAAGCCTGAAAAAGGCATAATCTAGGAAGCCGCGTTATGGCTTGATCCTAAAATGAAGCAGTGATTGGATATGTGGGAAATCCCGTATCTAGAGAACTTTAAAATCCCACTTCCCAATCCTGCATTGCTTTCTCAGGGCTTTCAACAGCCGAGTCACCCATTCTTGTGAAATCAAGAACGAACATGTATAATCCAAGCTAGTCCTTAGTCATGACACTACTTGTGGCAACTGTTTCATCTTATTCATTCACTCAGTTTATGTCCTGCCTTTTTCTGAAAACTCGAGGGGAGGTGAATGGGGTCTTCCCTAATTTTACTTCCCCTACAACAGTCCTGTGAGGTGGATTAAGGGGAAGGGTATGACTGGCTCCAGGTCACGCACCTGAGCTTCCATGTCTGAGGCTGGTCCTAAGTCCTAGGCCATTTCCACGCTAGCAACTGACAGCATCTTCAGAGCTTCACCCAGCCATTGTTGGTGATATCAAGCCTGTCCACAATGATGGTTGGATGACTCTACAGCAGTGTTTTTCAACCTTGGCCACTTTAAGATGTGTGGACTTCAATTCGGATGACTCTACAGCAGTGTTTTTCAACCTTGGCCACTTTAAGATGTGTGGACTTCAATTCGGATGACTCTACAGCAGTGTTTTTCAACCTTGGCCACTTTAAGATGTGTGGACTTCAATTCCCAGAATTCCCCAGCTGGCCAAGGTTGAGAAACTATGCTCTAGAAGATGCTGTAAAATCACTAGTACAGAAATGACCTTCTTCCAGTATTTGAACTCTGTCTGTACTTTACTGCTAAGACTTGGCTATGCATGGATGCATTCTTTAGGATGAGAATCAAGGAATCAATTTGTGTCCTGTTAAGGAAATCGCCCCCCGCATCTGGCTTGTTCGTCCTGGGACTGACAACCTGAAGAACATAAAGGCCCTAAAATGTCTGCATCTCTTGAAGTTGCCACCCAAGTGTAATTTTAACGTGACGGGAGAAAATTGCTATCACAAGGAATAGTTGTATCCAGCCTTGCTGAGTTTTTGGAAGGCATCTTTCATCCCCCGCATGAAGTCACACACCTCAAGACTATACATTCCCCATATGGCATGGACTTTGTATTTCATCCCCTCTTGGTTTTATGTTTCCCTTGAAACGGAGTCAGTCTTCATCCTTTAAGAGCCCTTTAAGAATCTAGTGGGTGGCTAAACGTTGTGGCATCACTGCAGCTACTTTTACACACCACAGTTAACTCTTGATCAGCCTTTGAGGAATGACCAGATAAAGCTTGTCATTGATTTAGAGCATTCTTTGCTTTGCAACCTGTGGCTGCTGGCCCCATTGCTTGAAGTTGAAGCCTGAATGTTGGCAGGGAAGGAAGGAAGGAAGGAAGGAAGGAAGGAAGGAAGGAAGGAAGGAAGGAAGGAAGGAAGGAAGGAA